GCCCCTACGAGTCCAAGGCCTCACTCAGGGAGGCACGAGAACGTTTGCCCCCCCCCCCAACGGGCATCGCAGCTGCCGCTGAGAACAGCGGCGGCGGCCATAACTTTTTAAAGAGCCCCTAAGGAGAGCTGGGGGAGCCAGAATGACCTCTTGCATGTGCCCTCTCACGAGAGGTGGAATTTGCCCCTACGAGTCCAAGGCCACCACCCTGGGGTTCAGGGAGGTGGGGGAACGTTTCCCCCACACACGGTTGCTCAACTGATGGCTGGTGGGAGCAGGGGGTGGGGCTTATGTGCCTGACCCCTGGGCTCCTGACTGGCGGAACGGTGCTCTGGTGTGCTCCGGCAGGAACCGAGGCCTGGCTTTATGGTTTAAGCCTACCATTTTCATAAATCCTGCAACGTTTCATGGGGATCACTCCCAAATTGCAACTTTGAATGCAAGGATATAGAGCTTGGGTCAAGCCAAAGATCCATTTAGCCCGAGACCCTATTTTGTACCATGGCCAGCTAGATGCCTCTGGGAAATCATCAAGCACTGCGTGAAAGCATTAACCTCCCCTTGTTGTTTGACCCCAAAAACTCCTATTCCAGAGGTATGCTGCCTCTTTCTATGGAGGTTTCACTATCACATCTCCTCCTTACCCAGTTTTGAAAGGGGACCCAGTGTATGGCAGAAAGGCACATGACACAGCATCCTTGCTGAAGCTAAGCAGGTCTGGTTTTTGCCTAGATGGGAGGGCTCCTGGGAAACTAAGGAAAGTCACCTTTGGTTCCGTGATGGAAAAAGGTATCAATCCAATAAAGAAATTTTAAAAAAAATACCCCCACTCCCAGTTGCCCACATCTGTAGCAAAACAGGACAAACAGCAGCCAGATCAGGTGGTTTCAAGGAAAGAATGGCAGGTCAACCCATGATGTATTTTTGCATTTATTTTATATAAAATATTGATAGATTTATGACAGGCCTTACTGAAACAATTTATTGTTATGCATTTGAACTGTAAGATGCCTTCAGGAACCAATCTGGCAGGAAAACAAAGTATTAATATAATAAGCCAATGCAATGATTGCCCCAACACTTTGTGACAGTAAAAACCCAAACCCATCAGCTGTGTGAAATAATCGACTAAACAGGTTGAGGCAGTGGTGGTCAACCTTTCTGGATTGGGACCCCACTAAGTTGCAAGCACATGCAATTAGAGTCACGTGATCATACAATAAAGAGAAGCCAGAGTTATGACCTGGTTTGAAGGCCAGTGCCATGTGCAATAGACCCAGAGTGCTGGGGACAAGAAAAATAATCTGAGCATTGAGAGGGATGAGCCACAGAAAGAATCCTGTCCACCCGAGTGACTTCACCTCACTGCCCCTACTGCTGCTTTTAGCAGTTGCAACAGTCTGAAGGGAGGGAAATGTCCTGCCACATAAATACAGGTTTAATGTGTAGAAATGAGCAACTGAAGCTTTTCATGGCATCTCATCAAGTTTCTATTAAAAGGACTCCAGGCTGCTGTCAACCCTAAGCAGGAAGAGTGCACACTCTTACAGTTTAGGCAGATGTGGCAACAGTAGGTCTTTCCAAACAGCAGCATTAAAAAAAGTTAGCTCTGTAGAAACTTTGTAGGCTGGGCTCTGCAATTTTTGGATCTTTTTTTTTTATCCCACCCTTTCTCCAAAGACTTCAGGATGGTGCACACGATTCTTCCTTACCTATTTCATCCTCACAAGTCTCCTGTGAGATAGGTGAAGCTGAGATGGAATGACCGATCCACAATCTCTTAGCAAGTTTCACGTGGGGATCTGACCCCAAATCCCACCAGCACTATGCCACCCATGGCCTGAAGGCCACTGGAAGAAGAAATGGGATTTATACCCGGCCCTTCACTCGGACTCTCAGAGTGGCTTACAATCTCCTTTCCCTTCCCCTCCTCACAACAGACACCCTGTAGGTGGGGCTGAGAGAGCTCTTTCGAGAACTGCTTGTGAGAGAACAGCTCTGAAAGAACTTGTGACCAATGTTCCCTCTAAGCTGTGGAGTCTTGTGAGCAAAAATTCTACTTTTTGAGCTACTGGCATTAAAGTTGTGAGCGAGCGATTTGGCTACTGCATAATTTAGTTTGCTCTGGAGCCGTCCTTCCTGAGCTAAGACAAAAATGTATGAGATGGAGGCTAAAAAACTGTGAGCTGGCTCACACTAACTCAGGTTAGAGGGAACACTGCTTGTGACTGACCCAAGGTCACACCAGCAGCTGCATGTGGAGGAATGGGGACTCAAACCCCGTTCTCCCAGATTAAGAGCCTGCACTCTTAACCACTACACCAAACTGGGTCAAGAGGTTCACGGTACAATTCTCTAGGGCAGTGAGCTCAACCCAGGGTTACCAACAGGCCTGGAGAAAAAAATATCCTGTCCCTTCAATAGAAGCTTAACGGGATGTTGCTTAACAGGTGGATGTTTTTTTTACCCTCAGTGCCACGAAAACCTTCAACTACCCGTTTCTACCTGTTAAGCTTTGATTCAAGGGACACGAGATCCACTCGGCGTAGGACTGCGCTATCGGTCCCAAGTGGCGCCCAGTGGACTGATCTGTTTCCAAGCCCATAAGGATTTTAAGTAAAATATTTTTTTTTTTTAAAGATTGAAATTATTCTCATCCGACCACAAACAATGCAAAGGCTCCAAGGGAGGAAAGGGGGAAAGGAGACAGGCCGTGCTCCGACGGCTTGGAAGCACCCTCGCCCCGGAAAAGGGGGCCCTGAAAGGAAACCGCGGCCTGGAGCGAAGGAGGATGCTCTCCGATGAAGGGCAAATGGGTACCAGCCGCTACACGGAGAGGAACGGGGGGAAGCCACCTTGGCCCTCCGTCTCCACCTGCAGCCCGAGGGGGAAAGAGCCTCTCCGTACCCCGCCACCCCCTGAGGTGAACAGTTACCTCAGCCGGCCTCCCCGCCCCGCACTCTGTGGTAAACGTAGCCAACCGCCAACCTACCTGCAGTTAAAGAGCCACCATAAAGGGGAGGAGCCGTCTCTGCTCACAGAGCCCTCCCGCCCCAGCCGACGAAGGCGACGGAGGAGAGAATTGATTGGTGTTCTTACTTGTCGATCAAGGGACAATAGAGAGCTGGGGATAAATTGCCTCGCCCCTCCGCGAAGAAGAAATCGGCGCGGGAGGACTGGCCGGACGTCGCGTCAATCAAAGGGAAAGCCGCGGCAACGGAGCAGGCCCGTTGGCTGGTTGGCGGGGTTGCCTGTCAATCCGACGGGAGAGTATAACGCGTTTCCTTTCCAAGGCAATCTGTGGGTGGTCTACGGAGAGTAAAGGGTGGGCGACGGAATGCACTCCGACGACTTCCGGTTTGGGTTCGGTGGGGCTCCATTTTGCTGGGGTTGAATGGCAAAAGACGGATGCAATTGGAAGTGCCTGCAATTCGACGGGGAGGGGACTGAATCCGTATATTTTTTGATATTGCGGTACAGTGGTCATTTGCAAGGGGGTTTTTCTGTGTGGGCCAGCGAATCCAGTTGCCATCGCATACAATCCACGCTCTACCTTTCCTCTGGATACCTAGCCGTGTTAGTCTGACTGCAGCAGCAGAAAAGAGCAAGAGTCCAGTAGCACCTTAAAGACGAACAAAATTTGGGGTAAGGTGGGAGCTTTACCATCGCTTGCTTCTTCCTATCTGAAGAAGTGAACAGTGACTCAGGAAAGCTCCTACTATGCCACAAATTTTGTAAGTCATTAAAGTGCTACTATTATCTGAATCATCCAGATAATGCAAAACAGTATGCAAGCTTCTGCAGAACTCTTCTTCCAGCATTAGGGATGCCAGCCTCCAAGTGGGACCTGGGGATTCCCTGGAATTACAGCTCTTCTCCAGACTACAGAGATCAGTTCCTCTGGAGAAAATGGATGTTTTGGAGGGTGGACTAGATGACATCGTACCCCACTGAGGACCCTGCCCCCCCCCAGGCTTCATCCCCAAATCTCCAGGAGTTTCCCAACCTGCAACTGGCAACTGTACCCCCCAGTGGCCAAGGGAGACTTGGCAATTCTAAGTTGCATGTTGCAAAATAATAATAACAAGCAACATAACCATAGCTCAGGAACCAAGTACAGGTGGGTGCAAGTGCTAACTGGAAGAAGATAGTAAAATAAGGCTCCAACATGGTCTACAACAGGGGTGTCAAATATGCGGCTCGGGGGCCAGATGAGGCCCTCAGAGGGCTTCTATCAGTCCCACAGTGGAACTGGCTGTCTTCTGCTTCTTCCAGTTGTGCTGCTGCTGTGTCATCGTAGGTTTGCAGCTTACAGATACACACCTGCAACAGCACAGACATTTTGATGCAGTAGTTCAGAGCAAGATGTGTCAGTTATCAGACACTGTTAAATAAACAAAATATTGCAAGAGTGAAAAGTAAAAAAAAAAACCTTTGTGTTTGTGTCCTTTATAAAATTTATATCTCTGCTACCTGGTAATACATTTTATTATGCACATGGCCTGGCCCAACAAGATCTCATTTATGTCAGATCCAGCCCTCTTAACAAATTAGTTTGACACCCCTGGTCTACAACAATGTATGCTCATAACATACAACTGAACAAAACGTGTGGAACCTTAGCGCCATGGTTGTTTTAGTGGTGAAAGCATCAGATTAGGATCTGGGAGATCCCTCACTTGTGCCCTGGAAGCTTGCAGGGTGACCTAGGGTCAATCACACACTCTCAGCCTAACCTACCTCACAGGGTTGTTGTGAGGATAAAAAGGAGGCGAGGAGAACGATGTAAGCTGTAAACCGCTTTGGGTCCCCATTGGGAGGAGAGGCAGGATATAAAATCAAACAACAAATAAAAACATTTATTGCAGCCTACGCCTACCTAAAATGCATGAAAAATTCATACATGAAACGAAGTGATCTTTCATCAATGAAAGTGTATGCTGGAGTAAATTTTATTAGTGTGTAAAATGCCTCTCCGTTCCTTTTCATTCTAATTTTTTTGACTCCTAGAGTGCAATCCTGAGAAAACTTTCCTGGAAGCAAATCGCGCTGAACACACCACAGTAGAATTCAGAACAGAGGTTTTTAGGATTGTACGCTCCCTGTTTATGTGCGCGCTTGCGCCTCTCCCTAGACTAGAACTCCCAGAAACGCTTCCTCTTACATCTCCTTTTTAAGGACTACAAGTCCCATCAGGCTCTTCACCAGCTCCCGGAAGCTGCTCCCGGAAGCGGCAACTAGCCGCCTGGCCTGGAGTTGGACAGAGGGCCAGAAATGGAGGAGATCGGGATTCTAGTAGAAAAAGCGCAGGTAACACTTCGAGGGGGGCGCTCTTGTGTCAGGGGCGCCGCGGTCTGACGGGGGCTCCCGTGGCTGCCCTGTCTTCGCTGCCTGGGAAAGGGAAGAGGGGTGAAGGAGAGCGGGCGGGGAGCGGGAGATGCCGAGTCACCGACACCTGCCGCTTGTGAGCCGGGCCTCGGAGAATCTGTCGGGGAATCACGGGTCATGGCCAGCTTTCCTTTCGCTAATTTCCGCCGGGATCCCGAAGGGTTAAATTCTTAACTTTTTAAAAAAGAGCCTTTGGCATTTTTAAAACTTGAGAAATTTGCTACAGCCCCTTGGTCTACACTTCTTATTATATTTAGGTGGGTAGCCGTGTGTGCTTGCACACGAAATTAGGGTCGCCAGGTCTCCCCTGGCTACTGGCGGGGGATGGGGGGAGTAGGGTTGCCAGATCCAGGTTGGAAAACCCCTGGAGATTTGGGGGATGGAGCCTGGGGAGGACAGGGACCTCAGTGGGGGACGCCATAGAGCCCACCCTTCAAAGCATCCGTTTTCTCCAGGGGCGCTGATCTCTGTAGCCTGGAGATGAGCTGTAATTCTGGGGGATCCCCAGGTCCCACCTGGAGGCTGGCATCCCTAACATGAAAGCTTATATCTTGAGTAAAACTTTGTTGGCCTTAAAGGTGCCAATTGACTAAAACTTATTAGTTTCATTATAGTCCGCATTTCTCCCTAGGATCCAAGGCGGAATGCAAATATGAAAAAACAAAAACCTTTTGAGTCATTCTGTAAACTGATAGGATAACCTCTGGATCTGATAGCAGAAGCTCCTTGGCCTCGCTGCTTAATTTGTTTTCCCACGTCTCCACCACGAAAGGTCTGCCTAGTGAGGATCCACTGCATTTCAACTGAAGAAGCAAGCTCTGGTTGCCAGATGGTTAATCCCAGCACAACATTTCTTTGTTAGCCTTTAAAAGCCAGTGTGATGGAACGGTTAGAGAGTCAGACTAAGGATCTGGGAGACCCAGTTTCGAATCCCCACTTGGCCATGGAAGTTTGCTGGGCAGCTTTGGCCACCTCTGTCCTTGGTACCTACCTCACAGGGTTGTGGTGAAGCTAAAATGAAGGAGAGGAGAATCATGTAAGCCAGTTTGTCTCTCCGCTAGGGAAAAAGGTGAGGTATAAATGAGGTAAACAAATAAATGACATGCTGCAGGACTCTTATGTATTGTGTAAGAGCTGTGGTTGGGGGAGGGGGCTGTGGCGAAGTGACATCTGCTTGGCATGCAGAAGGTCCCAGGTTCAGTCCCCAGCATCTCCAGCTAAAGGGTTTGGCAATAGAAGAGGTGAAAGGCCTCTCCTGAAGGACATATGGGGCGACTGCCAGTCTGAGGCCCCGGTCACATGGAGCATTAGGCACGCTAGAGGGACGGAAGATAGGCGGATTTTCCAGGCGTGATCTCACCGCCACATCTGGGAAACGTAGAGCTCCCGAGGCTCACCCGAGGCTTCCCGTCGAAGATGCGGGGTAAAAAACTAGTACCTCCAAGGTACTAGTTTCTGGAAACCGCGGGGCAAGGGCGGGTGTCTGATTACATTTCCGGTGGCATCCGGCGCCCGCCCATGTCCCGTCGCGAAAAGGGTTTTTTTCTCCAAGTCTCCACGGATGCGCACAAGCACCCAACGGAGCATGCGAACACTTGGGTTAAAAGAAAAAAAAAACACCCCGCCGATCCGCTTCTTTGCCACGCCGCAGGAGTGAGGTATGATTGGCACCTCCCCCCAACCACGGGACGTCGGCGGGACGTTTGATCCCGCTGCTGCGCGGTAGTTCACTCCGGGGCAAACAGCCACGCCTCCCCCCCGCGATATCCGGCCCGTGTGACCGGGGCCTGAGTAGACAATACTGACTTTGATGGACTAATGGTCTGATTCTGTATAAGGCACCTTCATGTGCATTGCCAAGCAGAAGATCAGGCTTGCGTGCCTGAGGTCCCCCATTCAATCCTTGGTGTTGCTGGATCAAACTCTCGCACAGGAGGTGATGTGAAAGGCTGCCTGCCAACCTGGAGACCTGCTGCAAGTAGACAAGACAGACCTTGACCAGTGTTTCCTCTAAGCTGAGTTAGTGTGAGCTAGCTCGCCGTTTTTTAGCCTCCAGCTCACAGTTTTTTGTCTTAGCTCTGGACGGAGGGCTCCAGAGCAAACTAATTTATGCGGTAGCCAAATCGCTCGCTCACAACTTTAATGCCAGTAGCTCACAAAGTAGAATTTTTCCTCACGAGACTCCACAGCTTAGAGGGAGCATTGACCTTGACCCTGGTTCTTTTTGGAGCAAACAACTGACACAGAGGCCCCTCTGGAATTTACATGTTGTGAATTATCAAGACTTTGAGATAAGTTAGGCTGAGAGCTTCATGTTGCCATGGAGATCTGAACACTGGGCTGTCATTGATTTATTTATTTACTTTATATCCTACCTTTCTCCCCAAAGGGAACCCAAGGCAGCTTACATTGTTTTCCTCTTCTCTGTTTTATCCTCACAGCAACCCTGAGAGGTAGGTTAGGCGGAGAGTATATGACTGGCCCAAGGTCATCCAGCGAGCTTCTGGGGCAGAGTGGGAATTTGAACCTGGGTCTCCCAGATTGTGGGTCCAACACTTTAACTGCTATTCCATGCTGGCTCTCAGATCCTTGTATGTCTGTTACCCTACACTGGTTCTACACATGCGTTTGCTCCCCTTTCATTCACTCTAATCACTGGCGGTCTTGCTAGTTTGTAAGAATTCCCAGTTTATAGAATCCTAGCTAAGTTCCCCCCCACCTTCTCTGCATTTAAGTTTTCTAAGAAGAATCCCCACACACACACACCCCTTTCTGTTGCTTACTTGGAGTTGGTCCTAGTCCTTTTGATTGTGTTATAGTTTGTGGTGAATGTGGTTGCTGAAAAGGTAAGCCAAAACTGAGTTTGGCTTACCTTTTCAGGTTCTTGATCCTAGTTTTCAGGGTTAAGTTTGTTTCCCTTTTTTGTTCATAGAAATGTGAAGGTTGCTGACCTTCAGAGACTTCCCAGCCAAGGGCACATGAAAGAGTTTTTTCCTCCATTTCTCTTTGATGTCTCCTTTCTTGATCCTAGGATGAAATTCCTGCTCTGAACATCTCCAGGCCTCAGACTGCCCTCTCCTTCTTGGTTCCAGAGGCTGAGGATGTGGAGGATCTCTATAGTCGTTACAAGGTGAGCTGCCTGGTTATCTTGTGTGATCACAGAGTTGTAGCTGTGTGGGAAGGCTCTGTTGTTTCTGGCCATCAGTCTGTAACTGGCCCTCTCTGGGAAGATCCAGGGGAGTCCCTCTGGCATTGTGAAGACAGCCGTAGTCAACCCTTTTTGCTGGAGAGTTTGGAAAACATGGGGGGGGGGCATAATTGTGTTTCTGGCCTTTCCCATCCCACTTGAGTCTGGCCGGCCCTTTCCATGTGTGTTTTGGGATTCAGCCTGAACAAAACTTAGGACTCCGGGGATCATGCAGGCCTGCTTTCTCTTCTGCAGAAGTTGTGGGATGTTGCCATTTATGGGTGGATCAAAATGGTAGGAGAAGAAGTGAAACACCCTCCAGATTTTGGGATCTGAAATGCCGCTTTTTGAGTATCAGCCGCAGAGCAGAAATGCACGTGGTTTGTATAATCCTGGCTGTACACGTGGTGTTGACGGGGGTTGAGTTTTAGCCTCGTGAGATACATTCTTTAGGGAGTGGGAAGGCAGAAGGGGTGGAAGTCTCATGGAAGCCAGCAGGAGTTTAAATACAAATGAAGAGTTTTATAGGAAAAGAATATGGACGGGGTGAGGAATTCCTAACTTCTCTCCCTCTTCTGGTTTCTAAGGAACACGGAAACCCTCCTTTTAACTTTCTGAAGTTTTTTTTTTAACTTAAATTATTCATATTATTATTGGAGCCAGTTTGGTGTAGTGGTTAAGTGCGCGGACTCTAATCTGGGAGAACCGGGTTTGATTCCCCACTCCTCCACTTGCACCTGGCTGGATGACCTTGGGCAAGCCGTAGTTCTCATAAGAGCTGTTCTTGAAAAAAGAGCAGTTTCTGTCATTCAGCCCCACCTACCTCACAGGGTGTCTGTTGTGGGGAGGGGAAGGGAAAGGAGTTTGTAAGCCACTCTGAGGCTCCTTTGGGTAGTGAAGGGCAGGGTATAAATCCAGTCTCTTCTTCTTCTCTTCTTCATACACCCAGGACCTAAAATAAGAAACAACGTGAAGACCACTTGATAAAACAAATTTTACAATCAACCATATAAGAACCAGTCTAAAATTGCATTATGTCCCCCCTCGCCACCACCAGGTATTCTCTTTCTGTCCAGGCTCAGATTTCCAGACGCACGGAGCAGCCATTAAAAGACATTTTCCCTTTCAATTAAAAAAAAAGAGTATATCAGAATTCTACTTGGTTTGGCAGATCTCACTTTTCTTGAGATTAGAGATTTCTGGACTCTGATTTTTGAATGTGGACTCAGTGGAATGGAAGTAATTGTACTGGGGCATATGTCTGTGCCACCCCCGTTCCATGCGTTAGACCTTTCACTGCTGTCGGAAGAAACAGAGGGGAGGATGAAGGGGTTCTGTTGTGTCTCCATCCGTAGAAGCTGCAGCAGGAGCTGGAATTCCTGGAGGTCCAGGAGGAGTACATCAAAGATGAGCAGAAGAACCTGAAGAAAGAATTTCTGCACGCCCAGGAGGAAGTCAAACGCATCCAGAGCATCCCCCTGGTCATCGGCCAGTTTCTGGAGGCAGTGGATCAGAACACGGCCATTGTGGGCTCCACCACAGGTATCTTCTCTCCCTGACGCATGTGCCCAAGGAAGCAAACTGGCTTCTCTTGCTTGAGCCCTATCTTAACCTCTCGGCCCTCTCCCTTGCAGGCTCCAATTATTACGTCCGGATCTTGAGCACCATTGACCGGGAGCTGCTCAAGCCCAATGCCTCGGTGGCGCTGCACAAGCACAGCAATGCCTTGGTGGATGTGTTGCCTCCCGAGGCCGACAGCAGCATTATGATGCTCACTTCAGGTAAGAGAATCTTCCTCTTAATCAAAGGAGCGAATCCCGCTCAAAGGCCGTGTCCAGGTAAGCTAGTCAAGTTGGAGGAAAAGTGGACAGCACGCTTTGCCTCTTCCCCTGCCCAGAAAGTAGCCAGGCAGTCCAGAACTGGGATGTAATTTCTAGGGACACCATCTTGTACTTCTTTTTAACCTAGTATTCTTTTAATGTTCTTAATTTTGTAATGATTGGCAGTTTAATGTTTTATATATTTGTTTTATGGCTCTATGCCTTTTTGTTATACATCGCCCAGAGCCTTGCGCAAGCAGGGAGAGGGCAATTAACAAATAAAATAAATTAATAGTAGTAGTAGTAGTAGTAAAGGTAAAGGTTCCCTTGCTCGAAAGCCACTCGAATCTGACTCTAGGGTTGCGGTGCTCATCTCCGTTTCAAAGCCGAAGAGCCAGCGCTGTCCGAAGACGTCTCCATGGTCACGTGGCCGGCATGACTAAACACCAAGGCGCACGGAACGCTGTTACCTTCCCACTGAAGTGGTACCCATTTATCTACTTGCAATTTCTTGCTTTCGAACTGCTAGGTTGGCAGGAGCTGGAACTAGAGACGGGAGCTCACTCCGTCATGTGGCACCCGGGTCTTGAACTGCTGAACTACCAACCTTCCACAGCCTGCAGTTCAGCATCTTAACCACTTGGGCCACCGCAGCTCCTGTAGTAGTAGTAGTAATATAACATAGCATGTAGAGGACTGAGCCCAGATAGTTCTGAGGGTTGAGTCCAGAATATTCTTCTTATCTTCCTGTTCTTCTGACTCAAAGGTCTTCAACAGATCAAAATCCAACCCTCTAACAGGCAATCACCACAACTAAATATAATAATAAAAAAATAATAAAAAAATAATAAAAATAATAATAATAATATACTTTATTGTCATTGTACATAGTACAACGAAATTAAGATGCAATCATTTGGTGATCTACAACCATACTCATATACACTCACAACCATTCACAACTATCCCATAACTCCCTTAAGGTTCACATTGCAACTTAAACCACCAATGTGGTATATAACAACTGTTAAGGTGGATTTCCGATCCTCATCTACAAGGAAGAACTGGACGTTTGTTTGAGATGATAAATTCACGTAACCTATTAGAGAGGGAGGACAAATACCTTTCTCTGAGATCAAACTGGATTTCACCCTCCAATAAAACATGTTTTAAGGGCTCAAACTGACCAGATCCACATTTACAAACTCTGTCCGAATACACTGTGCCTGCGAAGCAACCTTTATAGCCTAGGGAAAAGAATTTAACCGAACCCTATAATGAGGGGTTGTTAGGTCTTCTGAATAGCTAGGGACAACACAAGAGGAGGGAAGGGTCCAGAATACATTTTCCACTGATGGAAGGCTGAGGGCTCTTTTTGTAGCAGGAACTCCTTTGCATATTAGGTGACACGCCCCCTAATGTAGCCAATCCTCCAAGATCTTACAGGGCTCATCTTACAGGGGCTACTGTAAGCTCTCAGGGGATTGGCTACATTAGGGGTGTGTCTCCTAATATGCAAAGGAGCTCCTGCTACAAAAAGAGCCTTCATACTGCAGACCCCTGATTTGCCTTTCATGCTGTCCCCCAGGAGCAGCATTTCAGAGAGGTTAGTGGACTGCGCAGGGAAGTGGGAAATTCCTTCTTCCGCTGATGGAAGAGTCTTCTCTTAGCGGAAAATTTACTTTTGATCCATCCTCACATCTTTAAAAGGGAGTGGTATGTTGGAACCCGTGTTGGGTTGCTTGTGCTGCTAGAACAAAGTTTTCACTCTCTCATTCCCAAGTATGACGGAGGAGACTCAGCAGACCTGAAGCAAGGGTTGGGGGGTGAGGCACTTTCTGACCAGGGAAACAATGCAGTTCCTTTTTTATTTTATTTTTATATCTTCAGATCAGAAGCCGGATGTGATGTATGCGGATATCGGCGGGATGGATATTCAGAAGCAGGAAGTCAGGGAGGCTGTGGAGCTGCCCCTCACCCACTTCGAACTCTACAAACAGGTTATTTTATTCCAACGTTTGATCTCGGAGTCAGGAAACTTACCTGCGCTGTGCATAAAATAGTTATTGATGTATGCAATGTCCGTATAGAAAATCCCTCAGTAGCTTCTTCGAGGCTCTTACTGATCAGATCTGTGCCTGGTTAGCTTCGAAGATCCTATAGTACAGGTATGTCTAACAGGTAGATTGCGATCTACCAGTAGATCGCGGAGGGGTCAGAGGTAGATCACCAGCCCCTTACCAGTAAATGACAGAAGGTGCATTATAAATGGGGGGTGGGCGCGGTGGAACCCAACTTTAGTGGGTTAAAATCTTATTTGAAACTAATTTGAAGCTTTATTTTCATGGTGGTAGATCACCGGCACTTTTGGCCGGAAAAAATAGATCACTACCTGTTCGAAGTTGGACATGCCTGCTATAGTAGCACTCTTTCAACTTTGTACCATTGGGGAACATTGAGTTGTCTGTCATAGAACCCCTGGGGGTGGCACTGTGCATAACCTAGAACTCTCCCCCCGGATCTCTTTTTGTGTTGATACTGAATATCTCTTTCTGACACCCCACTTACCTGTGGTGTGGTGGGCCACTGCTTTTGCCAACATGGTCTTTCCACAGCCAGGGGGCCCATACATCAATACACCTCGTGGAGGGTCGATACCAATCTGAAAGAACCATAAGGTGAGAAAACAGTGAAATAGGATATTTTGGGACTGTGGCCATCAGGGTGAATCTACACCTGGAACATGCCCTGAAATCTTTTTTGCAGCATGCAGGGGTTCTATGCAAAATATAATTATACAACAAGTGAGAATGCATACAGAATATAAATATTTGAAAAATTAGAAAAATTAGGAGCTGCAAAGAAAACTCACCCCAGTCTCAAAAGCTGGCATGGGCTAAGCCAGAATGATCAGTCAAGGAGGATTAAGGGTCCTTGGCCTGCCATGTGCTGCACCTTAATTTATACCTAATTTCAGGCTGCATCGGCACAGGCAAAGTTTTAAGAAAGTTTTAAGAAACTTTGCCTGTGCCGATGCAGCCTGAAATTAGGTATAAATTAAGGTGCAGCACATGGCAGGCCAAGGACCCTTAATCCTCCTTGACTGATCATTCTGGCTTAGCCCATGCCAGCTTTTGAGACTGGGGTGAGTTTTCTTTGCAGCTCCTAATTTTTCTAATTTTTCAAATATTTATATTCTGTATGCATTCTCACTTGTTGTATAATTATATTTTGCATAGAACCCCTGCATGCTGCAAAAAAGATTTCAGGGCATGTTCCAGGTGTAGATTCACCCTGATGGCCACAGTCCCAAAATATCCTATTTCACTGTTTTCTCACCTTATGGTTCTTTCAGATTGGTATCGACCCTCCACGAGGTGTATTGATGTATGGGCCCCCTGGCTGTGGAAAGACCATGTTGGCAAAAGCAGTGGCCCACCACACCACAGGTAAGTGGGGTGTCAGAAAGAGATATTCAGTATCAACACAAAAAGAGATCCGGGGGGAGAGTTCTAGGTTATGCACAGTGCCACCCCCATTCACATGTAGAGCCCTGTAAAAGGTGTGATACAGCCTTGCCCCTTTTCCTGCGTTTGGTCCAGGTAGCCAGTTAAAAACGACCAAGCAAGTTATTTGAAAAGAATAAGGCCAGCACCTGCCCATGGGAGAATCCATGAGCGCCAGAGCCTCTTTGGGGGAACGAGGTGGGTGGATCCATTGTTCATAAATGTGGGGGAGCTGGTGCTGATGCTGCCTTCCCCCCCCCTCCAGCTGCCTTCATTCGGGTGGTAGGATCCGAGTTCGTGCAGAAGTACCTGGGCGAGGGGCCGCGGATGGTGCGGGACGTCTTCCGCCTGGCCAAAGAGAATGCCCCGGCCATCATCTTCATCGACGAGATCGACGCCATCGCCACGAAGCGCTTCGACGCTCAGACGGGCGGTGAGTTGGCAACAAGAGGGAGGGGAGGAAGGGCCTCTCGGTCAAGGATGAGAGTCTGGCTGGTAGATGCTGGAGGGAGGCAATTAGGGGCACGCAGGTTTCAAGAGGTGTTAATTCCATGTCAGGAAAGTCGAGTTGATGTTATTTTAATGTATCAGGGGTATTGTTACGTATTGGAAATTCATTCCAGGACCATTGGAACAAACTCTTTATATTTAATGAAAAGGCAAGCATGCCCTTCCCCACTCCCCTGTACAGAATTAAAAGGGGCGGGGGTCCGGTCCTGGATAGCCCAGGCAAGCCCAGTCTCGTCAGATCTCGGAAGCTAAGCAGGGTCGACTCTGGCAAGTACTCGGATGGGAGACCTCCTCGGAATACCAGAACCGGGAGGCAGGGGCAGGCTTTATTCAGCCACCCCCTGAATATCCTCCAGGCCCCCATTAGGGGTCAGTCACCAGAGGTCGCCCATGACTTCCAGGTGCGCACGCACATGCAAAAATACCAAAAAAAGAGGGGGGAGACCAAGAGGACATGCCCGATTTACAGCTGAGTTAGGCCTCAAGCCGTTTACATTTTCAAGGGGCGTTTTTCCCTCTCTTTGTGGGAGGGACTTGGCTTCCCCCAATCCAGAGGCCAGGTCCACCTCCATAGAAACAAGAACTCTTTAAAATTTAAAGGCCTGACTCTCAAGAAGCGTTTTTTGGTTCCCTAGCAGCAGCCCAACATGACTCCCGATTCTGACATTGTCATTTGGGGCCATGGGTCAGTGGTAGAGCCTCTTCTTGGCCTGCAGAAGGCCCCAGGTTCAATCCCCGGCATCTCTAGCTGAAAGGCCCTGGTCAGTAGGTGATGTGAAAGACCACTCTGCGTGAGACCTTGGAGAGCCGCTGACTTTGACGGACCAATGGTCAGATTTAATAGAAAATAGCCTCATATGTGTCAGGTCTCACGAATTCAACGTAGTCACTCTTATAGAAAGGATAACTTTTATTGATAGACATGAGTCACTGAACAGCTTCTCTGTTCAGAATAACCAGGAACCCCGGGGAGGGGAAGCATAAAGCAAATTCAAAATGGTTACAGCCAATGGTTATAATTCCCGCTTGCGCGGCTATTTTCCTGGGATACAAACAGCCAGGTTGTTTTTACTACAAAGCAGTTCTCACAGTTTCATCTCATTAAAATGAAACACAGCATACTCCACTCCAACACCTGTGACCTTGGGATAGATAACATAGCGGTAAATAACTTCTTGCAAGCAGGCAGTGTCTAGGCATGCGCATGGATGCGGAAGCGCTGATCAGTGAGGGGGGGGGGACATCAAGTGCAGTATAATTGACAGCATACAGAAAACATGATCAGAACCCAAAATATCATTTGGCAGCTTGCTGACAATATGTACCTATTTCTGATAACATCAGGATCGGGAGTTGCATTAAAGAGACAGCAGAGATGTTGGATATCAACTTAATGCCTTAAGTATTGGGCATCTTACTGAGCTGGCACTGTCTGACTGTTCCCACACCTCCTGCCAGTGCTTGTGGCATTATATATTGCCAAAACGCATTATGACGCAAAGACAGGTTCCCATCCCATAAATTCTGTTGCCTGACATGGATGTGGCAGGGGTAGGGAGAGGGGGGATGCGTAACCTGTCCATAAGTTATTTCTCCCACAAGGGGGGAGGAATGACTGTGAATATGGGCCAGGGTTTAGCATCACCTCACTGCTTCCCTCTTGCAAAATGTCCCGTCCCCATTTTACACTAGGTAGCAAAGATGAGATCAGAAATCCTACATGATCTGCATATGACCTTTTAGACCTTTCAGTTCCCACTACCCTCCCATAAGTGTTGCTGTGTCTCTACTTCATCATAATGCTCTAGAACCTGGGGGTTCCAGAGTTCCGTGTCCTCTGGCCTTGCATATTGTTATCCTATGAGAACTGCGGGGGAAACTTAGGTGAAGTTTGGTGGTTTTGGTGGGTTTGTAGGAGTCAGGCATGTGCATTCCGCCTAATACATTCTGTATGTGGTGTTAATGCCTTTTAAAAACCCTGATTAGATTATGAACAGCTTGTTTGAATAGCTGATTGACGGCCATGCAGTTCTGCTCACAGGTTTAGAGATTTCAAATCGGGATTAATTTTGCAAACAAGAGGATGAAAACAAGATGTTTAGAACATGGAGTCAGCGAATAATGTAGCATATAGAGAAGGGAATACATCTAAGCCTCTGGGCAGTCTGCTTTTACCCTTCTGATTGCTCACAATATGTCCTTTACAGATATAAATGCTGTTTAGGACTAGAAGGACAGCGTGGTGTAGTGGTGAAGAGCAGTGGACTCTAATCTGGAGAACCGGGTTTGATTCTCCCCTCCTCCACATGAAGTCTGCTGGGTGACCTTGGGCCAGTCCCAGTTCTCTCAGAACTCTCTCAGCCCCACCTACCTCACAAGGTGCCTGTTGTGGGGAGAGGAAGGGAAAGGCGATTGCAAGCCACTTTGAGACTCCTTCGGGTAGAGAAAAGCTGGGTATGAAAACCAAGTCATCATCTTCTTCTAGAATCTTAGAGCGGGTTCTATATAAACGAACTCTTTGGTTTGCTGATTGTATGAATATATGCTAGTGGATTCCAAGCATGCAGAATTTCCTTTGAGGAAGTGTGGAATAAACAGAGGCCTTTGCTAGTGAGGAATGAGAGGGCTGGTTCTCTCCCAGGGTGCCAACTGGTCATGTTGTCGATCTCTTTACAGCGGACAGGGAGGTTCAGCGCATCTTGCTGGAGCTGCTCAACCAGATGGATGGCTTTGACCAGAACGTTAACGTCAAGGTATGGGCCTTGGGAGCAGGGAGATGGTTCCTTTCAGTAACTTTAGCTTTGAGCTTCAGGCCATCTCCACCCAAACAGAAACAGTCCTGCCGTCTTTGGAGGAGGAAGCTTGAGGCATCTGACACTAAGGCCTTGGGTTTTAGGAATGTTTTGATTATGGCTTAGGCCCTGGTTTCCTTGTCAGCACGGACTTACCTATTGGGAACAGACTCTGCCTGTTTCGTTACCAGCAGCATTGCAAGCACTATCCAGAAGTGCTTAAATCTTTGGCTAGAGGATATCATCTTCAGCACACTGGAGTGGGGTGGCATTGAGTGGATCTCTTAGGGCAGGGGCGTCGAACTCATTTGTTACGAGGGCCGGATCTGACATAAATGTCACTTTGTCGGGCCGGGCCATGTGTGCCATAAAACGTAATGCCAGGTACCGGAGATATAACCTGTATAAAGGACAGCAGCTGGGAAGTTCCCCGTTTTTGTATCCTCACTGCAAGGCCCCATGGGCTGGGAAGGGAGTGCAAAGGAAAACCCATATGAGCGGACTGGAGAGCCAGCAGTGAAGCACTGGGCAGCCGCTCCCACGCTGCTTGACTGTCGCAGACGAGGTTGTTCTGCCATGCTGAAGCCACAATCAGAGTGGTTCTGCCCACTTTCCTGTGAACAGTCTCCTGTTCTCTCCCTTGCACTAGTTGCTCACGGGCCGCATAAGAGCCCTGGACGGGCTGGTTCTGGCCCCCGGGCCTTATGTTTGACACCCCTGTCTTAGGGGTGAATGAGATTGGGAGAGGGGAAAGTCAGGTGACAGTGAAAGGGGACACTGGACGATCTGGGGAAAGGTAGCCCGTCCTTTCTTTCTTACGTGATTTCTTTACATCCCTCCTTGTTTCTCATGGAAACTAAGGAGGTGTACATACAAGTCCGAGAAGGTCTGTTGTCCAGCCCCCCTCCCCCCTAAATTGCCTACAGCTTGCAAAGGTGGCAGGGGGAAAGTGTGATTATCTCCTCGTGACGATACACAATGTCACTTCTGGTGTCAAATTGGAAGTGGCATCATTGTGTTGGGTGACGATGCGCTGTGATTCACCCACAGAATCCTAGCGCATCAGCCCATGCAGTTACATCACTTCCAGCTTCACTCTGGAAGTAACATTGTGCGTTAAGGAGACTGTCCCCCCCACCACCCAGTTTCTCCTTCCAGGCTGCCACCCATAACTGGCAGGCCTACTCAGGGAAGGCTCCCTTCTCCAGATAGCATCCCAGAAGCTGAAAGCATATAAGAACATAAGAGACGCCAATGTTGGATCAGGCCAAAGGCCCATCCAGTCCAACACTCTGTGTCACACAGTGGCCAGAAATACCAGGTGCCATCAGGAGGTCCACCAGTGGGGCCAGGACATTAGAAGCCCTCCCACTGTTGACCCCCCCAAGCACCAAGAAGACAGAGCATCACTTGCCCCAGAGCCCCTATCTATACCTTGTGGCTAATAGCCACTGATGGACCTCTGCTCCATATGCCTATCTAATTCCCTTTTGAAGCCGTCCATGCTTGTAGCTGCCACCACCTCCTGTTTTTCACAAAACTCAGCTTCTTTTTTGAGTTTCTGTTGGGCTGTCACCCTCCATAACATGGTTAGTGCCACTTAGTGATAAGAACTTCAGTTATGGAGCCATGTGCTCACAGAGTGCAGCTCGGGCATTAGATTCCAACCTAGAGATCCGCCATTCAAGTATGAGACCTTTTGTGCTTTCGCGGTATTTTCAGAGAACAAATTTCCTTGCTGGTGACAGAGCAGGCTGCATTTCTAGTGTGCCTTAATGAAAGTACAGCTGGGTGGCTGTGTCTGTATAAAATTGCGTCACCAGCTGCCAGCATCTGGTGTAGAAGGAAAACAGCATTGATTTTCAGGTAACAGCCCATGGTGTTGTTAAAGAGGTCTACCAAATGGTAGGCTTCTCTGTTCATTAGATGCGCTTGCATCCGTCATTAAAGTGCGCTTCAACCAAGTGTCCTAGTAGACTGGAGGGAAGCAGGTATGGTGGGCAGGGAAGGTTGTCTCTGGGGGCTTGGAACAAGTATTTGTTGGAACTGGGACTTGACTCCCCCCCCCTTGGGTTCCCCTCCAGGTGATAATGGCCACAAACCGAGCCGACACACTTGACCCTGCTCTGCTCCGACCGGGCCGCCTGGACCGTAAAATTGAGTTTCCTCTGCCAGACCGGCGCCAGAAACGATTGATCTTCTCCACCATCACCAGCAAGATGAACCTGTCTGAGGAGGTGGATCTGGAGGACTGTATCCTTCTTGTCAGAAAATTTTCACCATCTTTGAGGAGGGCAGCTTGCTAAACAGGGACTCTTCCGCCCTTTCCTCCCCTTATCCCCCTCCGCTCAGTGCCAGAGAGCCTGGCTGACTCTGTGTCCGCTTACAGGGTAAGATCCTATAAACCTTGGCCATTAGCAGTGTCGAGAAAGAAATCACAGGGACTTAAGGAAACTAAGGCTAAGCTTTAGGGGACTGCAAGAAACAAAAATTCGGCCCAATTCGTATCGACCGAATCAGGCCAAATCTGATTCGGACCCTGAATGACCCCGAATGCCACTTTCAGCAATCCAAGTGGATTCAGGGGTCATTCGGGGCTCCGAATCACTTTCGGGGGGGAGTTTAAACTGCTTTCTCTTCCCAAGAAGAGACGGCTTGCCCGTCTGCCTCGCAGCCACGGGGTGTGCGGGCAAGCCAGGGAAGGGAAGGGGGTTTAAACTGCCTTCCCTTCCCAAGAAGGGACGGCTTGCCTGTGCGCCTCGCAGCCATGGGGCGCCCAAGCAAGCCATGGAAGGGAAGGGGGTTTAAACTGCCTTCCCTTCCCAAGAAGGGACGGCTTGCCCACGTGCCTCGCAGCCGCAGGGCGTGTGGGCAAGCCAGGGAAGGGAAGGAGGTTTAAAATCCCTTTTCTTCCATTTAAGCGCCAGTTTGTCCCTTCCCAAGAAGGGACGGCTTGCCCACACGCCTCGCAGCCGCAGGGCGTGTGAGCAAGCCAGGGAAGGGAAGGAGGTTTAAACCCCCCTTTCTTCCATCTAAGCGCCAGTTTGCTCAGGCGCCTCGCAGCTGCGGGGCACCAAAGCAAGCCATGGAAGGGAAGGGGATTTAAACCCCCTTCCCTTCCATCTAAGCGCCGGCTTGCTCGGGTGCCTCACAGCTGCAGGACACCCGTGCAAGCCATGGAAGGGAAGGGGGGTTAATTCCCTCCGCTGTTTTTTCGGCTGCCGCTGAATTCCAGCAGCGGCTTTTGGTGGCGGGCTGAATCAGACCAGAGAATCTGACTCGGCCCGTGGCTGCCGAAAGGGGGCTGTCTGGCCCATTTTCAGGGCTGCATTCGGTTTGGACGAACCGAATGCACATCTCTACTAAGATTGTTCCCCATGGCTTGTATAGTAAAAATTTCTACTCCTTTATTGGTGCTTGCTATGTCTGTGGTTCTTACAGGTTGAACCACCTTTTAATTTTAGCACGTTCCCTTTGTGCTCTTCTGCTTGCAAGGAGTTTGATTCCTCACCCCTTTGGCAGTGTCGAGAAATGGGGCATTTGGGCATCTGGGATTTTTGTGCATGGCACCGTGCTTTCTGCTGCCGTGCTTGAAATGGATTGGACTGGGCCAGAGGGGCATCAGTGATTGTAGCAGGAGCATACCCACATCCCCGTGCCCCTCACTGGTTTGACTGGCCATGGGGCCTGCTTAGCTGCTCTAGGCACTGACCTGAAGAATGCGGGCTGAGCATCTCCTTCATCCCAGCTGCTGCTTCCAGAGTTCTCGCTTAAGGTCTTGTGGAGAGAGAACCCCCCCATAAACACATGGCAGGCCCCTTGTCTTGCAACGATAGTGGATCACTCCTAGAATCCCAGCATTTGTGCCAATGTGGCAGAAGTCTCTCTGGCTGTTGCTGTTACCTCTGATTAGGAGCAGTAGTAACAAGCTCGGAAACTGAGCTCAAGAGAGACTTTGTTCCTGTCTCTCCCGCTGAGCTTCTGACAGAAGGGGATGCTTTGGCCTGTAGGTCTGATCGGTGGCCCGTTTTTCGCTCTGTGCTCTGGCAGTGAAAAGGGGGATAAGCAGGGGCTATAAAACAGAGACCATGTAGATTCCTACCATCCTTCGCATCCTCTAGAACAAGGATGGTCAGCTTGTGGTCCATGAGCTACAGTAGGGCCTTGCTGGCAGTTTTCCCATCTCTCTGCCACTGCTTTGTACCTTGTTTTGTTTCTCTCTCGGCAGATACCCTTCCAGATCTACTTGAAAGGGCATCTGCCAGGAAGAAGGGGTTTGTGCCCCACCGTTGGCCTGCCCTGGGAGAGATTCCCTTCCAGGGATGCTCGTTAGCAGTTGTTGGAGCTACACAGTGTTTCTTGCCCATCACAAAACGGAAGAAGGCTCTGAGCCATCTGCATCATTGCTGGGCCCTTTCTAGCTCAGTGGCTCCTGGGGCTGGTGTCACTGTAGGGACCCTGCGTTGCTTGGCCTTGGGGGATCTGGTCCATTAGAAAGGGAGGAGTTGCTGTAGCAGAGAGGGTCGTGGACTGCGGTGACCCTTCTCAGGGGCTTCGTTGGCTTGAACAGAAAGAGAGCCGCTCGCTCCCAAAGGGCATTTCCCAGTTGTGTCGGTCAGGCAAACCCGTTTGGAGTGAGTCCAGCCGGGCTCTTCTCCCCTTCCTTTTCCTTCACTCCTCCTTCCAGATGTTGCCCGGCCAGACAAGATCTCAGGGGCCGACATCAACTCGATATGCCAAGAGGTTAGTCTCACATGGTTTCGCACAAAGCTAAAGAGGTGGCTGTGAGCATTGGCCACATTTGGTAGCTCTCACAAGGTTTGCCTTTTTGCACTCTTGATACCCTTCAGAGCTGTGTGCAAGAAGAAATCCTTGGGGAGGGGGTGGTAGAATAGGGCAAGGAGGGTTGTGTTGTGGGTGAATCACCTCTTGTCTCTATGGGGGTAAGGTAGGGCTGCCGACCGCCAGGTGGTGCCTCGAGATCTCCCAGAATTACATCTGATCTCCAGTACAGAGATTAGTTCCCTTGGAGAAAATAGCTGCCCAAGCACAGAAATAGGCCTGCTGTGAACAGACCTCTGTTGTGACGTCTGAACGTGTCCTGAGATTAGTTCTGGCCTCCGCATAGATGTGAATGGGATGAGGAGGCTGAGCTGTGAAGCCCCCAGTTCACACTTTGCCTTCGGGACAACCTCAATAGCTACCCCTCCCCTTTATCTGAAATATGGTGCTGAGCAGGGGTCATTTCCTGCAGGAGCGGAGCTCCGGCAGTAAAGAGCTCAGGGGGCGGGCACATGCAACAAGCCCCACCCCCTGGCTCCCAGCAGCCCTCAATCAGAGCAAGAAGCAGCCAGGTAAGCTGCAGAGCCCCTCAAAAGAGTCCAGTGGCACCTTTAAGACCAAGTTTTATTCAGGTACAAGCTCTCCCTCCTCTGCGAGGACAGATCTGCACGTTCCCCAACAGCTAGCAATCCAAAACAGTCCAGTCTTCTGACACACTTCCGGTGATGTCAGGGGGTGTGGCATATGCAAATAAATCATGCTAATGAGTTATGTTAATGAGCTCCTGCACCTCTTTTTCTACGAAATGACCCCTGGTGCTGAGGATATATGTGACTCTCTATGAACATTTAGAAGCTCTGTGTCAGTGTTAAGGATTTATTTGTGCATTTTTATTGCATTCTTCCAAGAAGCTCAGGGTAGTGTGCATCGGTCTCTCCTTTTCCCTTTCACCCGTAAAACAACACGGTGAGGTAGGCTAGGCTGAGAGGGACTGAACCAAGGGCCACCCAATGAGCTTTACTGTCACAATGCAGGACTTGAACCCGTTTCCCTCAGATTCTAGTCTGACACTTTAACTGCTACATCAAACTGTGGGAGCCTATGCATGCCTTTTCATAGGAGAGCCCTTAACAATGCAGGGACTAAAGTACTCGGCTGTGCCTTGGAATCTCTGAGTTTCATGCCCCACCTTGTTAGAAAACCCCATTGAGCCAGTCATGCACTATCCACTGCACTTAACTCACAGGGTTGTTGTGAAGACAAAACGGGAGTGGGAATGCTGTGCATGCCACCATAGGATCTTTTGAGGAATAGGGATGTAGATGGACAGGCTCCCCCCCCCCTTTATTATTTTTTGTCTGTGAGTATTTTGTGCGTGTGTGTGTGTGTATGCCTGGAAGTTATGGTTGACTTCTGGTGACCCCTAGTGGGGCTTGGATGTTTCAGAGAGGTGGCTCATTATAGCCTGCCTCTGCCTCCCAGCCCTGGTATTCCTTGGAGGTCTCCCACCCGAGTGCTTGTCAGGGTTGGCCCTGCGTTGCTCCCAAGGGCATACAATGGCAAACCACCTGTGAACGTCTCTCTTGCCTTGAAAACCCCATCGCCATTGACGGCGAAACAAAACCCTCCCTTGTGTGAATTTCTCAGTTGAAACGTGTCCGCCGCCCCCTCTCCGGTCTCCCACCCGAGTGCTTGTCAGGGTTGGCCCTGCGTTGCTCCCAAGGGCATACAATGGCAAACCACCTGTGAACGTCTCTCTTGCCTTGAAAACCCCACCGGGGTCGCCATTGACAGCGAAACAAAACCCTCCCTTGTTTGAATTTCTCAGTTGAAACGTGTCCCCCGCCCCCTCTCTGAACGGCTGTCATTCAAACTTTCACCCCTTCCTGTTGCTTTAGGCTGGAATGTTGGCTGTACGGGAGAACCGCTACATCGTCCTGGCGAAGGACTTTGAGAAGGCCTACAAGACAGTCATCAAGAAAGATGAACAGGAACACGAGTTCTACAAATAAAAACTGGGGAAAGCAGGATTGAGCTGGGGTGGTTGTCTCAGTCCTTGGGGAGTGGGGGGGGGGCTTATGTGGTGTGTCTTTGGTGTTTCAAGGAACGAAAGTAGCGTATGAATAAATAATTTCCCAGGATGTTGGATGCTCCCTCTTTCCAAACCGTAGCCTGCCCACTTCCAGGCAGTTCCATAACTTACTCCTGTGTCGGGTTCTTGGGCAGCAAGGTCTTAAATAGGTTAGCTTTCTCGGCAGTGCTTTTATCTGAAGCTCAATGGAGACCTCACCGATATTTTGTTAATCGTGAAGGTATATCGGCGGCGGCTCCAAGGACCTGCTTGAGGCGGTTCGCAAAGTAAAAGCAGTACAATGATCAAACCAAGACCGTGAGAATGATCAGCATTAGAACTAGCATCAGAACTAGCTTGCCCCTTCATTTAAAAGCCTGGGTAAAAAATGTTTTGGGTAGCTGCTTACACAACAGTGAAGCGGTGCTAGGCAAGAATCAAGGGGAAGAGTCTTCTGTAGGAGAGGCTCAAGTCCATATGTCATATGTAGGGTTTTATAGCAGGTACTCCTTTGCATATTAAGCGACACACCCCTAATGTAGCCAATCCTCCAAGAGCTTACAGTAGCTCCTGTAACAAGAGCTCTGTAAGCTCTTGGAGGATTGGCTACATTAGGGGTGTGTGGCCTAATATGCAAAGGAGTTCCTGCTACAGAAACAGCCCTGTGTCGGGACAATGTAGAAGAAGAAGAAGATTGGATTTTTACCCCGCCCTTCACTACCCGAAGGAGTCTCAGAGCGGCTTTACAATCTCCTTCCCCTTCCCCTCCCCACAACCCTGTGAGGTAGGTGGGCCTGAGAGAGCTCTTGAGAACTGCGCTTGGGTGAGCAGCTCTGAAAGAACTTTACGACTGACTGCAGGTCACACCAGCAGCTGCGTGTGGAGGAGTGGGGGAATCGAACCCGGTTTTCCCAGATTAGAGCCCGCGCTCCTAACCACCACACCAAACTGGTTCTCAAGAGTAGGCTCTTAGTGGAATTCATTATTGTCTTTCTGGTGTTTGTATTTTTCCCACCATGGGACAAATACCTGTCCCCCGGTAAACAATCTGAATGTGAAAAAATGGCAGCGGAGAAATAGTTGAATTGGAGACCTCAGCAGTTCCGAAATAAGACTCTGTAATAGCTGTGGGGTGGAGGGTCTGTCCACAGGTTTCCCATCATGACACCTAGTTTGGTTGTCAACAGGTATGACAGTTTTTACCTGACAAAATACAGATTTTACCTGAATGGCTTGGGCCTAAGATCTTAGAGGCTACTTTTTCTTTCTGCCTGCTGTACTTTCACAACTTTTAGGATCAGTGCAAAGTGTGTGCTGTCTGTGCCCCACATTCAAATCCCGAAAGTAGTAGGAGAGAGTCACTTGATGGCTACCCTGCATTATGGGAAACTCCTTGGGAATCTGAGCTGTATAGTTTCTGGAAGAGCTATACAACTTCCCTCTTTGGCCTGTAGACCTGGTTCCTTTCTCTGGCTCTGGCGGGTAAGTAAGAAGGCGCAGATGCAGTGTTTTAACTGAGATGTATCACGGCAGTTTATTGAAGCACTTTGCAAGTAAATTGTATGTTGCATTGATTTTTCTAATGCGGTTAGTTACCAGATAATGTGAATGAAATGGTACCGCGAAGAGCATGATAAATGGAATATGTCCATGTCCATCTTTGACAAAGCCCACCAAAAGCACAATGTTAGCTGGTTGATAGCAAAGGGGTTATATTTCATTCAATGGCAAATGCTGTTTCTGCATCTCTTCCGACTATTAATGATCAAGATGGGTAGCCATGTTAGTCTGTAGAAAAGAGCAAGAGTCCAGTAGCACCTTAAAGACTAACAAAATTTGTGGCAGGGGTTGAGCTTTCATGAAAGCCTGCCACAAATTTTGTTAGTCTTTAAGGTACTTCTGGACACTTGCTCTTTTCTACTGCTATTAATGAAGCCTCTGAGGGATACTTCACCTAAAAGAAACTCAAAAGGTGTAACAGAGATAGAATAATGAAGGAGAAAATGCAGCCTCTTCTGACCTTTTGCCGAATAAACAAAAGGTATGGCAAGTTCAACTTAGGCTTTTTGTAAAGCAGTTTTACGGGATCTCATGGCTTTTGCAGTCAACACAAGCCAGCCAGGATTAAGCAAGAGTTGGGGGAGTTTCATTTGAATTTGGTGTTTTCCTTTCATCCTTTGTATATGTTATGCCCACTTGCTGGATGCCGGGCATACAGAGAAGCACCCAGAACTGACTTGTGGCCAACAATCTAGGAAATGAGCAACTTCCTCTGACGAGTTCTGCTAAAATTGCTGCCGGAGGGGGGGGTATTGAACTGCCACAGTCTATGAAGGGTGTTACACTGACCATAATGCTGGTGCAAACCTTGCCCCAGAGAGCTTACAATCTATATTAATTTAAGATCGGTTTAAGGAGAGTGAGATTTAGCTCGCAAAAGACAGTGCATGGAAATGCAGCCTTGGCTATTCTTGGGTGTTCCATACCGTAAGTTGCCTGCAACTTGCCAGCACTTTCTGCCACCATGAAAGGGAGAATGGTGGTGTGGTGGGAACTTTTCTGACTTAAGGGCTCTGGCCATTGCAATATAGCCCTATGATTTTTCCTCCCATCCTAATGAAAAGACGACAAGAATGCTAACATTTAGAATACGGTATGGGAACTCGAGAAGCAGGGTGGGAAAAGGGGTGGAACACAAATAGCTCATAGATGAAGATCCACTAGAAAGTATTTTGCCGCATCAGGAAACTGAGGGTGAGATAGGGTAGACTTCACTGCTGCCTTGCAAATTCCTATACATGGAATCTCCCCCTCCCGGGACATTCTTTATATAGTGCTTCAGTATTGTATTTCAGTATTGCTCTGATGGCTGGCAAATTCCAACTAGTGGCCTCTCAGTGAAGTCCAAGTTTGTTTCACTCAACGTTGTATGTGGACATAGATCCCTTCCTCAGTATAACCTTCAGTGTTGCTGGCCTGGCACTCGTATTTACCCCCATCCTCTGATTTCATATTCGAAAGATTCAGTTCATTATTATATATGTAGAGGCGAGTTCCCGGGAATCTCAGCTTCCAGCCCACGAAGCTCTCTGGGTTGCTGTCCGCCTCACAACGAACCAGGAGAGAGTCACCTTCCCGAGGAACTATCTGGGAGAAGTTTGTGAAGTCCTGCACGTCTGCAAGAATCCAGAGGGACAAGGCATTTCCTACCATGGTTCCCAGACACAGGTAGCCCCGCCCCACCTAGTTTCTCTCCCCCATCAAAAAACTGAACAAGCAAACTTCCCCTACGCAGAACAAGAGTTGGACTGCCTGTTTTAGGAACAGGTAGCTGAAAAGGGGGGAGGAACTGCGTTACATGGGTTAATAATCTTGTGGAGTGAGTTGCTTATTATGCCTGTTATACAGATAGGCAGGAGAGGTGGAGAGGGTATGGTTTACACACAAGCAGAGAAATCAGAAGAAGGAACGGAAGGCGGAAGGCAGCTCTCTTGTACTGGAATATGTAACTCTCTGGACCTTCCTGTTTTTTCCAGAAACAATGACTCGGCCATGGAAAGGTCAGAGGAAGAGTTTGTTAAATATTGTGATTTGTGGGTTGATTTATTTCTTGTGGTTATCTGTGTGAGTGTGTAGCCACACAAACGCACTGAAAACTTACCTCCGTTGGGGCGTGTAAGGTGCCCACTGAACTGTAGTTTCCTTGGGGGATCTGTAACACAGAGACAGGCATGGCTGGTAAGGGATCCCTCTGGTGAGGCAGCAGCAAAGTATAAGAGAAAATCTGATCTGAGGATTCCCATTCTCAGTCAGGACTATGAAGCTGCGTTGGGCTTGCTGCATTTGCCCTAACCCCTTCAGCCACAGCCAGGCTTTGGCTTCACTGTCCCCACATTGCTCTGCAGCAGTGATGGCGAACCTTTTAGAGAACAAGTGCCCAAACTGTGACCCAAAACCCACTTATTTATCGCAAAGTGCTAACATGGCAA